TCCATTTTTAAAAGCTTTTATAATACTATAAATTTTACTAACAAATTTTATAAAATTACAATGATCTTGTTGCTGGCTAATTATCTATATAGTCCAACTATTTTATTTTTTTCATTAAAATTAAAGCCCAAATTTTTATTAACTTCTATTAAATGATAATATCTAAACATAACTTGATCTTTAATATATGTTATTTTATTTTCTGAGCCAAAATATGAATGTTGCAACATAATATTTAGTACTTCATCAATATCAGAAATAATATAAAACTCATTATATTCAGATTCTCCGAAATTATCCTTAAAAAAGCTCTCTAAAACTTTCAAATAACTGATTACTGGTTCATCAACAAGGGCTAAAATTTTAGGACACAATATTCGAAAATTAAGAGTAGCTCTAATGGTACTACTACTATAGTTTTGTTTTAATAAGAATAATAATACATTAGCCATTCGATCCAATTCTTCGTATAATTCCTTAGCCAAGTCATAGGTCCATTGAATAGCCAATGGATTTGCATGTGTCCTGTAGTTTGTCCAGTAATTATTTAATAGCTTCATAATAGTATATAACTCCAATGCATAATAACTGGATAAAATCTGTGTAACCTCTTTCAATATTTTTTCAAAATTATTTTCATTAATAATTATTTTATTTGGAGTCCAGTTCTTTAAAGTCTTATCTACAAAAATTATGTTTCTTTTAAAACCAATCTTTTTAGGATTTTGTTTTGACAACAATTCAGAAATCATTTTCCAACCGGTATTTTGGATCAGGTTACTTAATTCATCGACACCAAAATTTGCTTCTAATAAGGGAAAATAACTACAGAGAAACGTAAAAAAAAAATAAAGTTTTAAAGACATATTTATTTCTAAACTACAATTATTATATATTTTACTACTGATCAAACAACTAAAAACTATAATAATAATTGCACATTTTTATACCTAATACTAGATAGCTATACAAACATAAATATTGATTCCCTAGATTTATAAATAATTATAAGCATTTAGAACAGTAAATAGGACATGATAACTATTTTTTTATTTCATTTTAAAATTAACATTTTGTTTAAAATCTCTTAAAATCATTTTTCATTGGTCGGTGATATAAGAAGTTAAACTGTTAGCCAACGGGCTCCTACGATAACGGTTGGCCCGTATGACTGGTAATACTCAACACAGAAGAAACAAATTACTAAACAAATGTATACTCAAATATAAAATAAAAGAGATTGATATTCTTACAGTTATTATTTGTATATATTATAAAATAATATGGTTATCTTGTTCAGTTTATAATTAATAAATATACTGAGCGTCCCCTAATATAAATGTAGATACAATTAATAGACTAAACTATAAATAAAATTACATACAATAGTATAATAGGATTTAACTCGTTCAATCTACAGATTTGACTGACTTCACTGTGATAGCTTCCAACCTTTTAATATAACGGTCTAACAATCACGGACTACAACCGGTGTTCAAGTTTTCGTTAATAATTTGAACTTCAATAAGACCACGACTTTTAGCTTAGTGTTTCACGGCTCTACGCAATAGGCCGGAGAACAACAATATTGTAACACAAAAAAACACGCGTACGTCGATTACGTAACGGTATCAAGATACAATATAGCGCAACGAAAACATTAGCATATGTCAACCATAGCTAGTCAGCCGACAGACTGCTTGACCGTGAAAAATGTCTGGCTCGGCATTGTCAAAGGCCGCAGTATATACTTTCACGGTCAAATATTACCACCACTACCTCCGTGGTCAACCGGTACACGTTATCAATACCGACTGATGAGAAGATAACATGTGCTGTTTTGAACATAAACCATTGCTGATACTTATACATTAAACGTTGTATGTTAGACAATAATATGTATTTATTTATTTCAAATAATTTTAATTTTTAACCTTCAGAAAATCGTTTAATATTATATGCCAAATTAACTTTTTATATTTCAAGAGTTTTGATAATTTAAAAACTAAAAAAATAAAACATTATGATCATTTTTATTGAATTAATTTGAATGTGATACATAAATAAAACTAAATTACATTAATATAAGTTCATTAAGTTTTAGAATTGAAAATAAATAAAATATTTTATAAGCATTTTATTTATAAGGACTGTAAACATAAATAAACAAGAAAAGTTGAACTGTTAGTCTATTTGCAAACGTTTTCCATTTTTAAAAGCTTTTATAATACTATAAATTTTACTAACAAATTTTATAAAATTACAATGATCTTGTTGGCGGCTAATCGTCTATATGAATTTAGTCAAACTATTTCATTTTCTTCATCAAAATTAAAGCCCAACTTTTTATTAACTTCTATTAAATGATAATATCTTAACATAACTTGATCTTTAATATATGTTATTTTATTTTCTGTGCCAAAAACTGTATGTTGCAACATAATATTTAGTACTTTATCAATATTAGAAATAATATAAAACTCATTATATTCAGGTTTTCGGAAATTTTCCTCAAAACATCTCTCTAAAATATCAAAATATTCGCTTACTCCTTTAACATTATTTTTTAAAATATTATATGACAATTTTCGAAAATGAAGAGTAGCTATAATGGTACTATTAGTATAGTGGTATTTTAATAAGAATAATAATACATTAGCCATTCGATCTAATTCATTGTAAAATTTTTCACCCAAGTCGTTGAACCAGTCAATAACCAATGGATTTGCATATGTCCTGTAGATTATCCAGTAATTATTTAATAACTTCAAAATAGTATATAACTCCAATGCATAATAACTGGATAAAATCTGTGTAACCTCTTTCAATATTTTTTCAAAATTATTTTCATTAATAATTATTTTATTTGGAGTCCAGTCCTTTAAAGTATTTTCTACAAAAATTATGTTTCTTTTAAAACCAATCTTTTTAGGATTTTGTTTTGACAACAATTCAGAAATCATTTCCCAACCGGTATTTTGGATCAGGTTACTTAAATTATTGGCATTAAAATTTGCTTCTAATAAGGGAAAATAACTATAGAGAAACGTAAAAAAAAAATAAAGTTTTAAAGACATATTTATTTCTAAACTACAAGTATTTTATACTTAACTACTGATCAAACAACTAAAAACTATAATAATAATTGCACAATTTTATACCTAATACTAGAATAGCTATACAAAAATAAATATTGATTCCCTAGATTTATAAATAATTGTAAGTATTTAGAGCAGTAAATAGGATATGATAACTATTTTTTTTTCAAATAATTTTGATTTATTATCAAAATTTAATTTACTAAATATTTTGAATGTCTTAAAAAAATATTTGGAATACATCAAAATTAATTAAATATATTGAAAAATTAATTAATAAATAGTTAAACTTACATTTGTGTATCAAGTTATACCATAAATAAAACATACGAATGTTAAATATTTTTGTAATACAATTGGACTGAGATAATATGAATCTTTTTTTCTCTACTGATAATATATATTATTTTTTATTGTATTATTAATAATAATAACTGATACTTACTAAAATATAGTTTTTAGAATTAATTATAATTTCTTTCATTTTTTACAATAATTTAAAAATGATGATAAATAGTAATAAAAATGTCATATTTGCACATGAATTTTTAGCTTCGATGCCAAGTTGAGAAGGTATTAATTTTACTAGGATATATATATTTTTTTTTGTCTGTTACCATTTTTTCTCAGCTCTCATCGAACTCATTTCTTTTAACGATACGTCAAAATATCACGAATTGTATCTAGTCGAAGACATTATCCTTTTATAAATTTAACCCTTTACCTGTCCACAGGAGGGGATTTAAAATGACAACTTTTTTACCAAAACTTTTTCAACTTAACTTTTTAGTGTGTTCCGAAAAGTCTGTTTAAATTTAAGTTAAGTTTATATATATCTTAAATTAAAGCTAATGTAATATGAAAATGTATATGAAAAAAAACATTTCGGACTTTATTACGTCATCACGGTGAAAATGGCTAACTTACGCTATTTTTGTGTTAAAATTCTCGATTTTATATTTTACATTTTTAACAAAAATTGCTATAACTTTTTGAAAAATGTATATATCAATACAATTTTTTCACGAGAAGTAGTATTTATATACACCTTTCATTCGACATACGTTTTTTTTAAATTGGACTATTTCCCTGTATAGGGGGGAGGGGAGGTTCAAATCTTAAAAATGCATATAGAAAGTAGAACTTATTGAACTTAACTATTGAAAGTGTTCCGGAAATACTGATACTTTATATATGTATATATATATATGTATTTATTAAATTAATTATTTATAAATTATTAAATTAAAGCTTATGTAATATAGTTTAATATGATAAAGAAAATTTTCAGACTTTAGTTTGTTTTCATGGTGAAAACTAGCATCAAAGTTTATAAAAAAAAGTAATTTTTTTGTAAAAAAATTCTTTTTCATATTTTTAACTTTATTATGCTATAACTTATTGAAAAGTGTATTGATCAACGAAATTTTTTTATGAGAAATAATATTTATATCCCTCTTTCATTCGATCTAATTTATAAAAATAAATCCATTTCCCTTTATATATTTATATATTATAAATAAATATACATATATTTAATCATATATTACACTTATAAATCATAAAACTTATAATCAGAATATAAATAAGGAACTAGCAAATCATGTAGCTTTTGGAATAATCCATCAATTTTTTTAAATTAAACACTATCTACAGATTTACATCGAAGAGATTCTTATGATAGTGATTTTAATCACTGTCAGATATCATTATACTTGACCATACTATGCCCCCCCCCATTGTGCCACAACCCTACTGTGCTGGGTTTTAATAATGCTTGCTTTTATATAAAAAAGCTCTTTTTTAAAAAATATATTTTTTATACACTGACATCATTTTACGCAAACTATAGAGCAAAATGAATACTGTTTTATATTTTTACAATTAAAGCTTAAATTATAATACGAGAATTTACATAAAATTTGTTATAAATAGTAAATAAATAGTATTTAATTAATATTTTTTATTTAATCAAATGATAGTTTAAAATTATTTGAACCTAAAGTTGTCCATTTTATCTCATATCCACTTCACATAATTATCTTAGTAATAATAAAATGCAAATAATAAGATAATATAGGGTTCAACATTTTTTCTATTGAATATACCATAGTAACATATTATTTGTTAATTTAATTTTTTTATTGTTAAATTAAAACAAAAACTTATAATATACAGAAATTATTTTGTTAAAAAAATATATTTTCTATGTTAAGCAATTTTATCACACTACATAAATGATGTAAGTTGTTGCTTAAGTAATGACTACATATCATAATAACCCGTCAGAGCGTTTTATAACAAATAAAACAATTCTATTTGATTTCAACTTAAAAGATCTGTACAACTGCTTTTTACAGAAATTTGGTTTAGTTTTTATAGTTTTGAGTTTAATAATGCTGTTTTATGGAGATAAATTTTAAAAAATAATGTTGGAAGATTTTTAGAAAAATTATATGATATAATAAAAATTTATACAAATCATCATAACATTTTACAATGCAAAATTCAGACACACACTTAAGATTAAAAATGAGTTTTAATATAACTAAACGCTTAGTTATAAAACCCAATGCATTTTTCTTTTTGTTATACAAATACTCAAAGTAAAAAATTGTTTTTAGACACTTTCCATTTCTAAGTTTAAAAAAGTTTGTTTGTGTACGTGAAAACATACAATGAATGAAATTTCTTTCACAATGCAGTCACACACACACATGTAAACATATATTTATAAGTTTGCAAGTATGGCGGTAGTCACTCAAGGCTTTCACAAAGTAATAAGGATGGGGGGTATAAAAGCGAATAATATAGATGGTTTCACGTTATAGCCACGCAAGGATTATTTTTTGTTATACCTGTAAATGCCACAAACGGCATCAACAGGTAGTTTAACAGTCATTTTTCCTCGTCGAAACAACGATTGTCTGTATTTCAAATGTATGTGAATAAGTCGTTTATAAGCTTATTAAACCACTATTGAATTTACTGAATTTAATCTGCATATGGTTCGTCACGTAAATTATTCAAAATGCCTAATTTATACTCCCAGTGATTTTTATTAACTATACACAACTACACAAGTAAACCATACAGAATTCAACATTTTTTTTCACAAATAATTTTCGTTAATTTGAAAGAAAAAAACTTAGTTTAGTTCTATAGAGAAAAGTACAATGGAATTGGTTTTTGGCAACATTAAATGACACATTTTTCATGCAGACACTAAAAGCACCCCCGGAAAATGTCATTAAAACACAAAGGTTGGGTTTTGTGTTCCTTTCTCTCACAACAGGATCCATATACACCATTGATCTCACTACAAGATTTCCCGAAAGGCGAAAGCATTCAAAACAAATGTAAAATTAATTGTCGAGATTTATTCATCAACTATTATTTAATTAATTACTATTAACTATTGTTATACTATTTAAAAAGTCATTGTTTTTACTTTAAAATTTAAAATGTGTATTTGTTGGAATTTATGTGTAGAATTCATTAAAACTTATGCAACAAATATATACTAACTTATTACTTTTAAGTAGTACAATATTTCAGAAAATAGTAAAAGTAAACAGTTCTAAGTTTAATACTCACATATCTCTTTTATATCGTAAGTATTTCTATCAATTTGCAACTTCATAAGAATAAAAATACAAACAATAACTTTTGGCTGTCTTAAAAACGTATTTAAGTATTCTAATAAATTAGACATTATGAATGTTTTACGTCAAACCATCAATAACCAAACTAATACATAATAGAATAGTTCTAGTGTGTATTTTCGAGATTCAATTCAAGTAGAATCATTATAAATTCGTTAATGAGATGCTGTTTGTATTACTTTTAAATGTAAGCATAATGTATTACATTATATAACCTTACCCACTAAATCAGAGACGTCTTATAAAAAAGTTTTATGAAAATAGTATTTCAATATTTGTACGTAATGAAACTTTTTTTTTATACATATTTTTCTATTAATAGTTATAGCAGATGCATCTTGTAATTAGTGGTATACACAATGAGATAGGGGGATGTAACCAACCCCATTAAAAAATGTATCTAAATTTTAAAATAATATTATTGTTATTAGTATAAAATATATAAAATTGTACAATTTACAGTAATATTTAGTTTAAAATCTGTTTGATATGTATATCAACATATCCCATTTAAATCAATATAAATATTTTTACTTGATATTTACTAGATATTTAATTTTACATAATTATTATTTCCCTACAACAATTCTGTTATATTTTACCTATACAAAATGAATTAATTAAGTCCATAGTTTTTATTTAATATACAAATAGTTTTTCAAAAATGTTAAATTAACCCCAACAGAGTGGTAATTTAACTATTTTATTTACTTTTGACAAAATCAAATATTAAGTCTACGCAGGGACATAATTTTCAATTACAAATGTTTGTAACTCATTATTGTTATTGCTATCGTTTAATACTTTCAATGGTCTAATTAATCGTATAGCCAACTACAGTTGGACTTTCCATTTTTTGATTCTCACTTGCTAAAGACATAAACTTCCTAAATTTTTCAAAAATCCTAGTAATTAACATAGTATTGTCATGTCACACCCACGGAACTGAATCTTTAGTAGAAAGCGCAGTTTTCGCTCTACCCTGTGAGTAGTTTCGCGGTGTGCTTTAGTATATTCACAAATACGAAAAATAATTTTTATCTGTATACATTTATATACATGTACATATTTACCACACGGATGACCCATTTCCTCACCCATCGTGTTGCGCGCGCATAACAGAGCCGGGCAATTTTAAGGGATGTCGCATACTAGTAGGGTGTGTGGGTGTGTGGGCTAGCGACTTGCCGGCAACGCACACAGAAGAGTCTCTTCAGTCCAACACATTCATAACACGCCGGTAGTCACGCCATGCCAACGACCGTTAAAACTTCGAAGGACATCTGTTGAAACGTTTTTTTTTTCGTCTCCTATTCTTTTTTTTTTTTTAATATTACCGCATTTAATTAAATTTTTTCTTGGTGCCGCACTCTTATTGGTAAGCCTTATCACTTGTCTCATTCCAGTATTCTACTCGTGGAAATTCGCATGCTCTTATATTCAAAATCAACCATTCGGAATCCTAACGTGTTTATCTTCCGCATTGTCTTTAAGCAACACCGATTCGTACTAAAAGACTCATACACTATAGACATCTCTGTTATTTGCCCTGGAAGCCAAATATTCAATCATTATCAGCTGTACGCCGCAACTATAGAATGATAGCCTTTATCATAAGACTATCTACACTTAGTATTGTTTTCCTTGGACCACCGTTAACTGATGCTCTGCATGCCGGTGCTAGCGCAAACTTAAAAAACACTATTCATAATTTGGAAAATCATCAATATAAAGACTCTAGAAAATGTCTACTACCATTGGCAGATCTTAAACGTACCGTGAAACGACATACGAATAAACGTCAACAAGCAGCTAATAGTAACCACAATTACGAATATTATGACGATGGTGGCGGCGGTGTCGGCGAAGGAGGAGGGGGAGGAGGTAGTAGTGTTGGAGATATAGCCGATGGTATTTTGGACGATTATTATGATCCTGACTTAATCACGGATCCTAGAGACCGGATGTTGCCAGTTATTTACAATCCGCGGCCTTTGTATGCGGCACCGGGACAATTACCGCAACAAACACAACAACAGCAGGTACCGCTTTCAGAAACACCATACAATAGGTACCAAGACGAGACCAACAGAATCGCTAACCCATTCGAGATACCTATAATTGGTGAGTGATTATAACATTATATCTACAGTAATTAAGACATTTAACGATTTCTAACTATTTATATCAAACTCTAAGAGATACATATAAATATGTATCCATGTTCTTAGGTAAATATTTCATAAACTGTAAATGACAATTAATTATACAAAATAAAGACATTTTTCGAAAAATGCATACGATTTATTTTTCTATTTTTATTGAAAATGTACTTATCAGGACATTGACTACAATTTTTAAATAGATATTTTTAATTTATAAGATTGCCAGATGAGCAAAATTGAAACTATTTAAATATTGTACAACACATATTGTATAATCAATGAATTTCAATTTCATTTTTTTGTAACCAAAGTACAAATTATCGAAAATCAATCAGCAAAACATTTAAGTCACTGGAAGAGCAAGTCTTATAAATATTATAGTAGCACTACGTTTTTTTTTTCATTGAATTTTTAAATTATATTTTAGATATAATAATCTGACAAATTATAATAACCGTTATTTAACGCGTGGTTCAAATTTGAATTTAACTTTAAAATTATAATAACTTATGACTTATGTACAGAATTATTTTTTCAAACCACTCAATAACTCTCAAAATAAAAATAATTAAAAAATATTTTTTGATTATTTTAAGTTACATATTGTGTTCGAATTATTTAATATGTAATACTCTTTAAGTTCTTTCCTTAAGCATTGTATGGGTATCAAATTTGTTTTTTCAAATGGGAACAAATATCTTGAGTTTAATAAACTGATGTATTTTTTTTTAATAGTAAATAGCGTCTGATAATATTATATTTAATACGCTTATCAGATATAACACTTTAAAATTTCGAATAATGATCAAAATGTTTTAAATACAGTAATTTGAGGCATAATTTTGTGATTTAACATTTATGAATACACCAAATGGCAAAACATAAAGTATATCTGTTGATGAACTCATAATTAATAACAAACGTCACGTATCTGTGAATAGCAACGTCGTAAAAAACAATTAGATATCTTTATTTATAAACGCTTTTATATAATACAGGTGTTTTAATTCAAAAGCTCAAAGAAAATTTAAAAAACTCGAAACTATAAAGTGTTATATTTAATAAACGGATAAAGCTATATTAAATATTTAAATGCTACATATCAGTGAATATCGACGTTATAAAAGAACAATTAGCTACTTGTATCTGAAATTCCTCCTGTATTATACATGTATATTAACTTAAAAATGTGAAACTTTAATATTTTATATCAAATAAACGAATAAAATGATATTAAAAATTCAAATGCCATTTACTGTAAAATTAAAGACTCAAACATTTTATTAAATTCAAAATGTGTGTTTCTATTTAATAAAACAAAATTGGCATCTTAACAAGACATTAGGAATTAACTTAAAAAGTATTACCCCATTAATAATTTGAAAACAATATGTAACTAAAATTAACCAAATAAAAAATTTTAAAAAATTGTTTTTCCTAATACTAATTGAGTGAGATATGATAAAAAATCACCTAGTTTGAGCCCATTATTTGTTTAAATAAATAAAAAAACAATATTTGTTTCAACTGATTAATAGTTAAACCACTATACTTTTATAAATAGAATGAAAAATTTAAAATAGTCAATGCATAACTATAAATTGATATTACGCATAACAATAGCATATACATTTACCCGTATTTTATGTTATTATAGTTCATTAAAAAAATATTTTTATTTCTACTATATGCAATATAGTATATAAAAATATATATAGAAAAATATCCTATTTGAAAGTTATAACTTTTGTAAATTATAACATTAATAAAAAAATTTTAAATCAAAATTTTACTTTAATTTTATTATTTGATAATTTTATTTCTTATTCACAATAATCGGCATAACTATTAGGAATCCGGTTTAAACAAATTTATAAATTAAAAATTAGCCTTTTCATAAAATGTAAATATATTATCAATTTTATACTTAAAAGGTTAAGATCAAGTATTTTAGTTATCACATGGAAGTTATTACAATTTTGTAGTGATGGAGGTGAAACTTAATTATGGTTAATTTTTATTACTAGGCATTTCTGTTCCTACTGTCGAAGTAAATATTTTTCAAAAAGTTGTTATGGATCAATCTTCTCTTAATTAGATCATTATCTATTAAATAATCAAGTTGATTATGTACTTTGCCTTTTGAAAAAACAATTTTGACACCCTTTTTGAGGGATAAAAATAAAAGACTTTAGATTTTATAAATTGAGAAAACATGTACTTTAATGAAATAAAAAAATATATATCCTCAAAAGTTATTCTAATTAAGTGGTTCATGATAAATTAATCACTCTGTATAATTGACTAATTGTAATAATGTTTATATATAAATATACTTAATATAACTGTTAAATATATATTAGGATCTTTCCCTGTGTTTAGTATATAAATATCGATATCTGTGAGTCTGGACTTGCTGGACACCCGTAAATCCACCACTATAAATGCTAGAATGATGAAATACGTTCACCAAAAAAAATATAATTACATTAAAAGGGTGTCCATTATAAAGGATACTTCTCGAATATAACAACAATGTTTTAATATAATACAAACAAACTTGTATAATTACTTTAAAAAAATAAATAAATATTTTTATCCTAAAAACCTTGTGATACGATAATATAAAATAGGTTTATTGATCATTTTGAACATACCTTATTTTTTTATTAAGCTATTAAACAAGTTCTAGAAAACAATGGCTAAATCGAATCATCATAAGATATTCTTAAGGAAATCAAATTACAACATCAACTTAAATACAAGTCCTTGTAAAGTTATCATCAATCCTTTAATCGTAACAACTTGATAGAAAATTTAACTAGTAATTTCTTGATATAAGCTTATTGCTTAAAATTAAATTGATATAATGAAATTAATTTTAGTTTTAAAGGTATTAACTAATTCCTATGGGCTCAAAGCTTTCTAGGAACTTAACTAATAAAACAGGCATTTTTTGTCTTCCCTATTGAATTACGTATGATATCTGTGTATGTAATTATACGTATACAGATATCATGTACTTAAAGTGTATGTTTATCTATAAATGAAACATTGCGTGCACAATGTTCAAATAATGATATAGTATCATTATGTACTTTATACAACTTTGAGTTGTAATTAACTTTAAAGCACATAAATTATTATTTTTCAATGCATGTTTAACTTTATATTTTTTCATTAAAAATATTAATGTAAAATTTCAAAACATTACACTGTATATTATTTTATTTACATAATTGGCCATTTTAATATTTCATATTTTCTTATTATAATCAATTTCTACACAAATCAAACTGTTTTTTAAATTAAAATATCTACTTAGTTAAAAAAAAAAAAATTTATAACTATTTATTAAAATTGAAAAAATTAAACCAATAATATTTTTTAAAACCACTTAAATAACAAAATACATGGCATTTAATTTAATTTAAACTAATTGGTATAAATAGCTAAAATAACTATTTTCTTTATATTAAAAAAATATATATATATATTATATTTTAAATAACTTAAAAAAAACTTTTGATGCATGGTTAAAAAATCCTTTAAATTATAAATTTATCAATGTATCAATCATGTATATTATATTGTAATAATATATCGAATTTGAATAGATAATATTAATAATTTATCAAGGATTTTTTATTTATTTAAAAATTAATGATTGTGAAAAATGGGTACATGAAGTAGAATGAGATATTAAACGTACCTTAAATCATTAATTGATTATACATTGTTATTACGTTATCTTTTTTTTTTTTGCTATTTAACCTGTAAGAATGATATAATTTTTATTTAATTAAATATTAAGTTTTTTCAATATTTGCAGTCAAAACTATACTAGACTGTTCATTAATAAATACAACTTATATTTTATAAATAAAATATGCATTTATATATTTTGTTTTTGGGCCATTTAAAAAGGACGTTGTTTTTTAAATATACAGTAAAGTGTTGAAATATTTTTCATTTTAGGGTGAAATAAATCTCCCTAATATACCTTACACTATAACTCGATCACTATAAATCACATTGATATTTTTCAAACCTATTGAAACATATCTTTACTGGCTGATAATATGACTGGAATGATTTAACAAAATATATGCATACATATAAATCCGGACTCTAGTTACGATATTGTAAATTAAATATAATAATCAATCACAAATACAATGAAAGAAATTGTTAAATAAAAACCAAAAATTTTCAAATTTCTATTGAGATTACTTAAAAACACCGATTTAAAACAAAAATAAAATATAAAAACTTTCTAACAATTCTATGTAAAAAATATTTAAAAATAATCATTGTGAGTACAAATAACATATTACACAAAGAGCAATTTTTAAATAAAATATAATTCATTACAGACAATTGAATAATATTATAAAATCAAGAGTATTGCGTTGACAGAATAAATTATAATTGAGTATTATTTATCATAAAAATTCACAATTATAAATTCGTAAGGAAATTTCATTGCTAAATTAATTTTAATAAAAATAATAATACACAAAAACAACAAAATGTATAGCCCACGGTGTTTATTTTATCATTCAAATTTTAAATATAAACAACTAACTCATTAATCATGATATTGAAGTAAGTATTTTTAGCAATTCAAAAGAAAGTTTTTAATAAGTTTCTAAAAAACTTAATGTCTTTAAAGTTTATGACGCTCACGCTCAATATGCAAAGACATCATAATTTGTAATATTCTATGTCTTTTGTGTAAGTTCTTGATTTCATCTATTTTCACACAATTGTATCTAAGTATAGTTAGAACATTTATCAGAATTTTCAAACTGTACTGCTATTTATTTAATCCAATCTATAGTTAAAGATATAATCAAATCTTTAATCAATGACTTAAAATATAGAAAATTTGTTAATATATTTTTATAATTAAATAAATATACAAAATATCCCATATATTAATACAAGTAAGAACTA